CCCCAAAACCCCAAAACCCCAAAACCCCAAAACCCCTTTGTTAGAAGTCATTAATAAAAATTTTAAGAAAATTTTAAGAAATGGAGGTACGAAAGTGGGGCTTAACGGGTTCAGTGGGAATTTTGGCGGAAGTTGGGGAATTATAGAGGTTTATAGAGAGAAATTGGTGAAAACTACTGCGTAGAAGAAAGTAGGCAGGAAAGAATGAGATATGGATTGAAAGGGATTTTTATAAAACTTGGCATTTGTTTGAACATACTTCCTTACTATGATTATTTACATAAGACCAGACACCTGATGATGCAACTGTTCTCAGGATCAAGGCAGCTTTGGATTGAAGATAACAGAAAAATTATTGAAAGTCTTCATGAGTGCATGCAGGTGGTTGAGCTCAGTGAATCCAATCTGAAATATGTTCATAAGCTGTAAGATTTTTTTTCATTCATATATCAACCATTAACAGATTCCAATTTCCCAAGTATTTACCGAATGGCAACATTGATTCAAAACAACTGTAATTTCTCGCCTAAAAATTCAGTGAATGAGCATATGTGCTTTACAAATACTTCAAATTTGAAGTAAAAGTTTTTATCAAAGTTAACGGTATTCTTCAACTAAAATCCTAGACCATCTAGAATCTGAGAATCTCAATGCTCTCATTGATTTACTCAGAGAGTATTATTCAAGAGGCAGCCTCAAAGTGATTTGGTATCATAAAATATAGATAAAATCAGTCTATTTCTCACATTTAACACACATTAATCACTTCTCTCATCTTGAAGATGAGAATTTAGAGCTGACTAATAGAGTCATTGACACAATCTTGGAAATATTAGGACTAAAATGAGAACAATTGGGCACACTGAAATGTAAGAATTCCTTTGAACTTTCATTGTCTCAAATTTTAGATATCATCCCTCCAATGGTCAAACTCGAGAACAACTACATCAGAGGTTTCAATAGAATTTACCTTACCAGAGATGTAGAAATTGGTACGATTTTATGTATCATCTTGCCAATCACACTTTTAAAGCTCATATAGAAGACGAATTGTTCGAATTAAGCCACCTTAGCTTCACTAAAGAATTCAATAAGCTCATGAGAACCAAAAGCACACACACTTTAGAAGTATTCATAGGTAAGCAGTGTGGCTCACTCTAGACCAATTCATCACGTTTGGGAATCCTCTCCCGCAATTACTTGAAGGTAGGTTCAAGACTTTGGCTTCAGGTTCGCACAAGATTATTTGCAACAATTTTTCTTGGAATTTTAGGTCTCAAAATCTAACCAAGAATGTGTTACTTAAGTCAAAGATCTTGTGGTTTCAATGATAGGTTTATTCTAAGATTCTGCTTTGGATTAAACAGCTTCAGCCTTCTTTTTGTTTCAAATCTCTCTATTTTTAGATAAGAGATAAATCTAGTGTAGAATTCATTTTCACATGTTGGACTATTTATAGTATATGGCAAGAAGCTCTAGACTCTGATAATCAATGTTATAGAAATTACCATAATTGTTTCAACTCCCTCTTATCAATCAGAAGATGTTAAACAACAGTGTGATGTCACTCAACTGATAGATGTAATAGAGCCTCAGCATAAGCTCAAGTTTATCTTCAAAGAACTCTCTTCGTCTGAGAGCAGGAACAACCTTTGTCTTGTCAGCAAGTTGAGGGAATTTGCTGGAGTTCAAGTCCATGCTGAATTTACAAACACAAACAAAGATGCCTTTATTCTCCACTGTTTACACTGAATGCTCTGCCTTAATGTTGAAGACACCACAAAGACCACTTACTTCAAAAATGTGAGAATCGATTGTGGGATTGAAGATATTTCTTTCGTTAGTGACAATGAGTACATATTAATTAGAAGTATTTGCTCGCTCAAAGGAACAACGCAAGCAGAGTGTCCATCTGGAAGAGAATTTGCTACCTTTATTGATAGTTCCGATCTGATAAATGAGAAATCCACAATGATAGCAGTGAAGGTGTCAGATATCAGTAGCTTAGCATTAGACAAGCATTTTGATGAATTTATCAATGAGTCTGGAGCTGATCAAGAGAATGAAGAAATCCCTGAAGTTCCAAAGAAGATTCTAAACTGGACTAAACTACCTTCCCTACTTCCAAACCAATGCTCTCTCAGACTTATTCTAAAGAGTAAACCAATATGTTTATCTTATAGTGGATGAGAAAGGTGCGAAGATTCTTGAATCCATCCCAAACAGCCTCACAATAAGCAGTAAGCACTGTTTTACTATTCATAGCCTTGACTCTGGAGATTCCTGAGATTCTCAATTTCGAAGACAATAGGAAAGATGATCTAATCGACAGGGTTTGAAGCATCTTATGCACTAAGAGATTAACAAAATTTATCATTAATGGTGTTCTAAAGAATAATACCAGATTCTTGCTAAAGTTTGTCAAGACCTATTTTACTATAAATGACAACAAACTCACAGAACTTGTCGTCAAAGGTTCCCCAGGTGAGGATATTTTGTGGGGGCAAAGTTCCTCAGTTTTTCTTTTCCAAGTGCATTAAAGTAGCTTCCTTACAGTTATTACTGTAAGTTTTCCTTCTTAAGGCATCTATGAGTCACAAAAATTAAGTTGAAAGGTTCTAACAATGAATCTAGAGCTATTCCATCTCGTGTTGAATGATTCGACTAAAAATGCATACATATTGACTCTCAAGCCACTAAAGGCTGAGGTTCTCATGCTGTCTTCCGAAGACATGAAGCTTGAAAGCCTCAAACACAGAAGAATAGTTCTCTGTAATTTTCTTTCTCATTCATAGGCGATGATGCTTCAACCCGCTGTGGATGTTGCACTGGAGGAATGATGGATGACAAATACAGGTACTACTCCAACACTCTCAGGTAATAAGTCATTATATCCTATGTTTCAATGTCGGAATCGCCAAATGGGGTTTTGGGGTTTTGGGGTTTTGGGGTTTTGGGGTTTTGGGG